AACTTATTTTTTAGACTATTTCATTACTGGGATACTTTAAACTTATCGTATCACAACACTTCTACTTTAAATATACAATAATTTACTTTTAAGACTTCGAAATGTTTTAATGGTCAACCAGTTTTTTGCAATCTAAACCAATTCTATTGCGTTTTTGTATACGTTTTAAAGTTCCGAAAGCCCATTTAAAATAATATCTCTTTGACTTAACATTTATTTGAAGTATACGATTTTAATGTTCCGCCAAGGGCAACTGGAGAACAATTAACTGTCCGCGCTTGTTCCAATAATGCAAACTAATTTCAATGTCGCCCAAGGAACGGACAAAGGGCGTTATCCACATGGCAGGCAACACAATGTGCAGCACGCTTGTAATTTTTCATTGCGCTGATGCGGACTTAATCCCCGAGTTGGGAGCAAATGGAAAACAGAAGCTCCCAGCACAATGGCCCTTAGAATCCGCGGGCATCCGGCGGATGATGCGTCCGTATCTTGGCCATTAATGCTGATTATTCGCTAATGTCAGAGGGCTCGGGCTTAAACAGTGGTCTATTTAGAAGGACGCTGCAGCCACAATGCAATTTAGCTGCTTTAAGTGGCAAAAAGTTCACTGTTTGCAAATCGCAGGGGCAGGTGGCAGCGCCTTCCCCGGGGATAATTATAATGCCATTAGCATGTTTAGTTCACAATCAGATTTGGCCGGGTTCGCCCCCTTAGGAGACCGCTTAAATTGGCTGCGGCCGCGGTAATCCTGTCGAGCTCCCATCCCCGCCTTTCCACCGCCTTCCCCTCGCTTTTCATGCAAATCCTAATAGAAAGTTAAATGTTTATTTACGCAGCCAAGACAGCGGAGTGGCTGGGCGTGGCCGTGGCTACCCAAACTATTTTGTCGCATTTTGCATATTGCAAATAGCCAAAGGACACCCCGGTTAACCCACGCTTGGTCCCGTTCCGTTGCGCTGTCCTTTCGGGCAAAGCAATTTCAACTTTCCATTCGAAGGGCAGCCGTTTTTTTTCCGGCTTTATCCCCACATGAATTCCTAAAGCGGATTTCATTACTGCACGCAGGATCTCTGAATGCTGTTCTAATTTAAGAGACAGTCAGCAGAAAATTTGTGTCAGGGTGGGTGGTTTGGGATAAGTTAGGAATTCTGTAGAAAAATGACTCATGTGTCATGTGCGTTGTGAATTTATAGAAGTTCTGCAGAATTTTGTATTAGCTATATGTCAGATCTTAAAACAAGCGACAAGCAGCGAAAAAACATTATTCAACTTTTTAACATCGTATATCTTTCAAGATGTGACTTTGTTGATAAAAAGTATGCAGATAAAATACTAGTGCTTAATTTTTGTATTTACCATTTTAAATAAAAAATTAAAACACTCTGATTTATGGATAAACTAATTATGGATCAACTCGCCCTTTAAAAATTATGAACCTCAAACTAATAAGCAAAAAAATATTAAAAACATTTTTGCTCATAAATAAATCTGCACATTGTCCTTCTAAACGGCAAAAGTTTATATAATTTGTATTTCCTCAACTAAACAAAGCTTATTAATTAATTGTCGAAAGCGTGCAGCAAACGGGTTGCTTTTTCTTATCCGGCTCCACCTTGAAAATGTTTATTTAAGTGGACTCTGTCGGAAACTTGTTTGAAATTGAGTTTGCCAAAACAATTCCTCACTTCAGCTGCTTCCATTTGCGTTTCCATTTAATTTGGCCTGCACTTCTGGGGCCGAATGCACTGGATGCCGGCCGAGTTATGCGGCATTTCTAGCCGGTTTCCAATTGTTCGACTTCCTTTCGCCTTTTGGCTTTCCAACACGCGCCAAGGCGTTTCCTTTGGGCCATTTGCCCGTTTCGGCGCTTGGCAGTGACACAAATCGCTGAATACCTTCTAAGGAGTGCGACCTTTGTCTGAACTTCAAGGATTCCTATTTATTCGAGCCGGGGCCAAGAATAAATGTTGGCAGACAGGAAGGAGAGCGGCAACTTATTTTCGTTTGCCAACGCATTGAAGTCTTCCACTCGATTTGCAGTCCAAGTTGGTCGTTGCCAAAAACCGAGCCCGGTTAACTGAAGCTGGTAGAAAGTTCCACCTCCCGTAAGCTGTTTACCCTAACGCATCACTAAGCGCGCTGCACAAAAATAAATGTTCACAAACTTGCAGGTGAACTTCGTTGGCGTCCTTCGCCCTCGTTTTTTCCGTTTAAAATTAGCAGGCGACAAACTGTTGATTCTCCATGGGAAAGCCAAAAGGGGCTGGCAGGGGAAGTTTATATATCGAGCGACCCTATCATGTCAGCCTTTCACACAAAAGCCTAACCAGATCCCGGGGCCATGGACTCATTCAACTTTGCACTAATGTCACATGCTTTGATTACTGCGCCGTGAAATTTTATTGATTGGCCAGGCAGCGTCACATGAGCGATGGAAACCAGTTGGGTCTTGAGTCGACAAACCCATCCACCTCCCCAATAACATTAACATCCATATCCACAGCCACATCCACAACCACATCCACATCCACATCCAGGGCACCTGGCCAACCATCAGATTGAATGCACTCGCTGAGGCGAGCAATTCGAAGATGCATCGAAAGTGCAGCTGATAAGTGGGAATCTCAAAGGGTTCAATTCCCTTTACTTTGTCGTACCTCTTGGTTGTTTTTTACAAAAGCCTAAATACTAATTATTTTTAAGAGCATTAAAAGCTTAGCCTGAAAAGCAGTTAGTTCGTAAACATTAAGTTTAAATTGATTTTGTTTTTTTTTTAAATGATTATTTATTATCTTATTGTCCTAAACAAATTAAATAATTTAATAATCCACAATTATTTGTTTAATTTCAGTTTCTAATCAGGCGCCATATGGAGAACATCTTCTAAATTTAAAATTATACATTAAACTAAAAATTAATCTTAAAAAAATCAACATAATTTCCTTAAACAAATGTTATTTTCTTTGGGAGATCGTTATATATGCCTGGATTGTCACAATCACGTAGGTTATATACCTTGACGCCTCTCCTATTTCTTCCATAAGTCCAAGCGTTCAATTTCACTTACGATGTCCTTCACACCGGTTGCTTGTTTAAACAATTGTGGTCAAACAAATATAACCATAAAAATCTAAATTTAACATTTTCGTCTAAAGCCATAAGAAAATAATCAAAATAAAGTTGCTTCTGATTTAATCTCCATATGCGGCTATACAAATATTATTTCCAATTTTCGTATTTATCAATTTGTTAATTCTTTGAACTATTATTCTGGCCACATCTGCTGGAAATATTATATGTTTGTTGGAGACTCTGAGCCGTAGGAGCGTATTAACCGTGCCTGGGGTGCCGTTCCGTTCCTGTCGTGAATTGTATGTATAATGTGTAATAGTGAGAGCAGGACTCCGAGAAGTGTCCTGTATGGGAGGTAGTTTTTATCTTCAGCCCCGCCTGACAGCTGGAGATTTCGCTTTGCCCCCCTCCCTTCGCTGATTGCTTACAATGTGCTGGGTTGAAAAATCGCCCACCGCCCCCTGTTCGTTTTTTACAAAAAAAATGCGAAAATCCTTGTTAAAGCAAGCGTTGTCGCCGGCTTCGTCATCACAGCTAAAATTGAATTGGAATTGCTTCAGCTCCAATGGCAGGCAAACGACAGGCAATCTGTTGAGTCGCCTCTGATTGAATGAGGGGGCCAGGCCCAAGGTCGTCTTGGGGGTGGGGTGCTGAAGGAGGAGGGACAACAGGAGAAATGCGGAACGAATGCGCGTAATGCGCTTGGATGGATGAATCCCGCCCGACTGCGTGAAAACCGTGATAGGAGTGCGATTTAATGATAATATGTTGTACGACAAGCTCCATCGTCATTATCTGTCATTTTCGGTAAATTCACGGGAACTATTGATCCGTTGAGATTCTTTGAAGGCGTTACGGCCTTGTGAAGGTTATTGAACATTGCTTTCACCAATAATATTTAGCGTGTGTTCATACTTGTATCGAAATCAAAATATTTATCTTAGTAATTAGCAGTCATGAGCTAAAAATACAAAACGAAAACAGCTATATTACATACTTTACAAAAAAATTGAATGCAGTACTTATTGGTAAATACTGAACTGAAAAAGTATATTTACAATAAAAAAAATAATTTTTTTCATCGGGTCATAGCTACTAGCTAAACGAAATGTATAGAAATTTATTAAGTAACAAACATCAACATTAATTGGAATGTAATTTCTATTATATTAACCCTTAAAAGATTCCCAAAAGTCGATTTTTATTTTAATCTTTAAAGACTTACGTAAATATTAGCATTAATGCGTATAACTAATGTTTACTGTGTTTCCATTAACAACGGCTGTTTAAAACGAATCAAACACGCCACCAATTCGAATTGGCCCAATTGTGATTCTAATTAGCGCAATTACGATAAAACCGCAGCAAACATTTCTGCGCCGAGTTTCGATAAGCAGATTCCAAATAAAGGCAACCATCGAGATAAAGAAAACATATGTACAGAAAGGTGTTCTGTGAAAAAAAATCTGTCGATTTCGACTTGTGAGTGGGCGAATCATTTGCGTAAACAAAAGAACAAACAGATACAAAGGCAATGCTAATTAGACGATGCGCTCTCCTATTTGAAAGTGCGGTCAAGGCGCTCAGTTGTTTGGCGTTTAACAACACCGTTCTCAAGGGGTGCAGTAGGTGGAAGGGAGATAGGTACAGTGCATTAGAGAGCGACTAGGGCTGTCAGATACTGGCAGAGAGTGAGCTAGATTTGGGGTTACTATAGGTACTTATATAATAAACTTATTACTAACAAAAATTATCTTAAATTATTTAGAAAAATAATATCAAAAATCATTTTCTTGAGTAGAATACATTTGAAAACAGAAACTCTATAAGTTTCCATATATTGTTTAAACCCTCTCAAAGCCCACTTGACAACCCTGCTGCTCTCTCGCGCCGCCGCTCTCGCGCACACGTCATCAGCTGTGGCCCACTAACAACAGTCGTCAGATGTATTTTTGTTGCTGGCTGCATTCAATTTCTCAACTGCAGGCTAAAAAATAAATAAAACAATTGGTGCCAAACATTCCGCGGCCACGCAACAAATAGCAGCCAAGCAGCACGTGCCAGTGTCCCAAAAATAAAACCGGGGAAAAAGCGCCGCATTTGACATTGAACAACATTCGCGGTGCAAAAATAAATCTAGGAAATAAAATAAAACACACACGAACAAAAACCGATATCAGCTGTTCGCAGAGTGCGTGCGGCAGAAAAAATTCATTATTAATTGTGCCATCGGACGAGAGAGGTGTTTTCCATTTTTCTCGGCATTTTCCACATTCCCCCGCCAGCGAGTCGAGTTTTCCGGCCAGCAAAAACTGGAAATTGCAAACATCGAGCATTTATTCAAGTGTTGTGTAATCAAATCAAACTTCGGAAAAAATGAGTGCAACGAATGTCCAGGAGGCGCCGAAAAAGGCTGTGGCCTCCAATGCCATTAAGTTTTTGTTTGGTGGTCTCTCGGGAATGGGAGCTACGATGGTGGTACAGCCCCTTGACTTGGTAAGACACCTGTTAACTAAAATCTCATACTGACAAACTTGTTATAACTATGCAAAATTCCTCTCCCAGGTTAAGACCCGCATGCAAATCTCAGGAGCTGGAAGTGGCAAAAAGGAGTACCGTAGCTCCTTACATTGCATCCAAACTATAGTTGGCAAGGAGGGACCTTTGGCCTTGTATCAGGGCATTGGAGCTGCTCTGCTGAGACAGGCCACCTATACAACAGGTAGATTGGGCATGTACACCTACCTGAACGATCTATTCCGGGAGAGGTTCCAGAGGAATCCCGGTATTACGGACAGCATGGCCATGGGAACCATTGCCGGAGCCTGTGGCGCCTTTATTGGAACCCCAGCGGAGGTGGCTCTGGTGCGCATGACCTCTGATGGTAGGTTACCGGTTGCAGAGAGGAGGAACTACACGAATGTGGCCAATGCTTTGACTAGGATCACCAAGGAGGAGGGCATCACAGCTCTCTGGAGGGGCAGTCTGCCCACTGTCGGTCGCGCCATGGTGGTCAACATGACCCAGCTGGCCAGTTACTCCCAGTTCAAGACCTACTTCCGCCACGGACCCCTAAAAATGGAGGAGGGCATTAAGTTGCACTTCTGCGCCAGTATGTTGAGTGGTCTGCTGACAACCATCACTTCCATGCCTTTGGACATTGCCAAGACCCGTATCCAGAACATGAAGATGGTCGATGGCAAGCCGGAATACCGGGGCACTGCCGATGTCCTGCTGAGAGTGGCACGTCAGGAGGGAGTCTTCGCCTTGTGGAAGGGATTCACGCCCTACTACTGCCGCTTGGGTCCACACACTGTGCTGACCTTCATCCTGCTGGAACAGCTCAACCAGGGATACAACAAGTATGTCCTGGGCGTGGAAAAGAGCACTGGCCTGTAAATCAGCCATACAAACGATCAACGAACGATGAACCATGCGTGTATATACAACGTTAAGTTTGGAACAAACTTAGGGCATTTAAATGTCGGCAATTCCGGTGACAATATTACATGATAACGATTAGCTTGAATGTTGAAACAGTTTTTTGTAGCGCCATAAGTATAAAGTGGATTCTCAATAAAGCACAAAATGTTATAAAAATTGTATTGGTTTTATTGCAAAATGCATGCGACCATCTTATTTGAACTTTAAACTAATCTAACTTTCTATCTTAAACTAATTACTAAACGGTGTTAAGATACAATTATCAAAATATTTTTTTTAAAAGTTTTTTGATGTTGAATTAATTTTTATTTGTTTTTTTTAGGAAATTAGTAGCAAGCTACCACCTGTATATCGCGTGTGTTTGACTATTTAACCGCTACATTGTCTTCAAAGTCACGTCAGATTGCCAACTCCCTAAGTTTGTGGTCGGTTCGTCATGTGTGTGAAGTTGGGGTGGTGTTGCCCCGCCCATATGTTGTTTTTGCATATTAATTATATTCTATATAAGTAGAAGACACATTTCCACACCCTGCTGTTCACATAGCTACTGTTCGCTAATTCCCCTGATAAACGTTATCACTGGCTCATAGCTGTTCCTTGTTTGACGGTACAAAGTATAAATCCCAACGATAAACTCCGGTACTGAAGATTGCATATATATTTAGCATTCCCCTTCCACAGCCAGATTTCGCTATAATTGATAAGGAAAACAGGCTGATAACCTTTATTCTAGTTGTAGTTTAATAAACAGTGCTATTATAAATATAGCGTTCGGGTTGTATTCCAGTATAGCAGCTATATTTCACTGCCTTTTATTTCTGTTTTGATTGGTTCAGCTTTATGACAGTTGATAATTGGATTATTTAATTTGATGAATTTCAACAGTCGGTCAAAGGAATCCACAGCCAGACCACAAAAACTTAATTTAAATTTTATTTGTTGCCAACGCTTTTTTGTTGTTGAATTTTTATTTATTACAAACTGGCCATAAAAATCCTCGCGAGAATTTATTTAAAAAGTTTTTTATTATGCCATAAGTTTGTTAACTGGAGCGTTACAGTTTTCGTGTGGCGGAAGTGGGTTTTCGGGGTCGGGGACTTAAGGGGGTTATAATAAGCGAGAATTACCCCGAAGCCAAAGGCAAGAATCGCATATTAAATTTATTTTATTGGGCCTTTAGTGGAAGGGGAAGAGCCTCGGACGGAGTTTTGCCGCTTACCGAATAGTATTTGGGTAATAAAATGTTTTCAGCTTGGCCAACATTAAACCACTCCCCCTCCCTTTTCGTTTCCCCTCCAGCTGGTACAACAAATCAAAAGTTTTTCTCGTAAATAAATGAGCAAAAATCGTACTTGACCACAGGGCGCACGGTTTGCTATATTAAAAAATTTGACAGCACTTGCTAACAAAAAGCTAAGTTCCCCACTTGGAGATACTTTCTCGGCCCCCAGTTTAAGTTTAAGTTTAAGCTGGTGCACGCTTTAGATTTTAAGAGATATTAGTTATCCTTTGGCTCCAGTACTTCGGGGTAATTAAAGGCGCCCGAAGGGCCAGCAAAGTAAGTGGCTTCATTAGGGGCAAAATAACTAACTTTTAGCCACATTCGATTTCCACCAAGACCTTAATGATAAAACAATGTGGCATTAATAAAGATTTATTTTGTAGATTTTTTACAACAAGAAAAAGATATATTAATTTAATGTTGGTGGACTATGAATTATTAAGAGGTTTAAAAGCTTAAGGTAAACTATCTACATTTTTGGTAAATAGACATATGATAAGGTAAATAAATAATTCCAATAACTACATTTTGTTATGTACACATCACCTCCTATGTGATAGGATTTAAGGATTCTCTCGTTGGAAATTCGGCATCCATTGAGTTCTAACCAATCCAAAGGCCCTTACCCAATGGAAGCCGCAAATGTCAGCGCCTATTTAACATGCAATTTTTAATTAACACTCAAAACATCAGCCTGCCAGACAGGAAAATAGAGAGAGAATCAGGCTAGAGCCGTGTAAATGTAATTAATTCAATGTCCCACACGAACAGGCAAGCCAATTCAGCCATAGCCGCCCAATCCCCCGTCCTCCAATTTCCGCCCACCCACACATTCAAACCAACTTCAATTAGAGGCCGATACAGAGACCCGTCGAAAGACTATCTTTGCGTTTGGCCTGTGGAAAAGCGCTGCGATTTTCGTTGAGTTCTTTAACACGGGAACAGCTGCGACCATTTGAAATACCCTGTAAAAGCATTGGTCAAGGTCAATTAATAACATCCAACAAATATTTACATGGATTAGGTCAGATCTGAAAATTTAATTATGTTAAAATTTTCAATTTTAGTCCTTTCACTGTAGTAGAATAAACCAAAATGGAATTGCATTATTAATTTGAAACCAGTAAATTAAAAATGGTTTTACGAATTTACCTGTAAAAGTTCTTTGTCTTGTTAACTAGTTGTGACTTTTGTTATCAACTACTTTTAAAACATTCCTTTATGAATTTTTAAGTATAATAAATGCGAAAAACTAAATTTCGTCTATAAAAAAAACATGTTTAAATATTTTGTATTTTTTATTATTTATCAGGAAAACTATAAAATTTAAATTTTTGTTTAAGCTTTTTGAGACATTATTTTTAACAGCGTGTTAGTTCTTGACTGTTATAAAGATTTTAGTACTCGTAATTTCAAAGCAAATAAAAAAATAAAAAAACATTTAAAAGTTTTCAAATATAATTTAGGGTATTAATTTGGTATCAGACTCCAGTCACATTTCCGGCAAATGGTTGTTTTATATTTCGAAATTCGGCCCGATTGATTTTGGTATTAATGCGTTTTCAGCCGCCCAAGGGAGCTTCCCAATCGATCGGGATTTCGGTGGACGGCGTCGGGAGTTGAAGCATTGGCTCTGGGATGGGCAATGGAATTGGATTTGGGATCGGAAAGCTCCCCGCAGATGTGGGCAAAAGGCACAGTAGGCGGGGCACTCGCTTTACCGCGGTCATGGCTCATAATTCAGCGTTTTTAGTTAACTGGTTGGCTGGTTTGGTTTTGGCCGGGTTTCGGCTTTGGCTTTCGACTAGTTTGCCGGCCATTTGGCGCTCGTATTGTTTTTCCTCTGCTCTTTAGTTACGCTAATTGCAATACGATGCTGAATGGTGTAGAGCAGCTCTCAGCCTGAAGCGTCAAACTAATTGCTTTTGCAAAAAACATTTGAAACGCGCAACTTTTTCAATTTATCTATTTAGCGTAGCGGTCCGTCCTTCCTCGTTTGCGAATATTTGCAGACAATGTCCTCCCCACTTAAGTGTTCTGTTACATGGACGCGGATTTATCATAAGCAAGGACAATGCCAATGCACTTTTAGATAGCCACACTATGCGAGAAAAGGGATAATCTCCTAGGAACATTTTATATTTTGTAAATATCTATATCTACATTGGCTGTGAAATCGTAATTTTCAATTATGAAATGAAACATTCTTTATTTATTTTATAGGGCACAACTATGATATGCATAGGTAATTAATTGAATGATTTCAAAATTTTGAAATAACAAATACTTAAAGACTTAAATTTTTAAAAAATCGATAAAAATATAGTTTGCAAAACCAAATGTGAATGTTGTTTATAAATACGAATAGGAAGGAAAAGGAAACAAGAATAATCGCTAGAGAACTTAAAAGCAAGTTCGTTCTGGTTGTAAATCAATTCCATAACTTGTTAAATAAATTCAAGAAAATTCAGTTTGAAATGGTCTGCATTATAAGTGTTTACAACCCAGTTTATTTCTGTGTGCAGCTCTTGGATAAAAAGGACACTAAAGGGGGTAGCAAAACAGCGGCCATGGAAGCGGAAACGGAAATGCAGAACAACTGCTGGCTGTGTTCGTGCGCTGTTTCTATATTTTTTCCCCTGGCTGTTTGCTGCGTCGCCAACCCGAATTTCCTCTGCAACTTCCGTTTTCCCATTAGGCGTGTACATAAAAACGTTGAACCAGTGCTCGAGATTTACCCAACTAGAAGACAGACAAGTAGCGCTCATCGCACGCAAAACTTTGCTGCCGGTTGAAACTTTTTAAATTGATTAGTTTGTTGTCAACGCAGGAGGCTTTGAGGGATCCCCAGTAACTGGAACTGCATCCTACCAATCCTGGACCACCGACATTAGCCAAGTGGCTGCATTTCAATTAGCCTAGCACAGCAAACATGTTTATAAGGCGATTAACGGATGAGGCAATCTGGACCTCAAAGTTTGCCAAGTCTTTCAGCTCCTTGTCTGCTTAATTTAATGCAGAGAAAACTCTTGAAAGTGTTGTTTTCCTCCGCGGTATTTTAGGGATATACCTTAAATTTAATTACCATTTACTGATAAATATTTATTATATTTTTGTTGTTTTATACCAGAAAATATATAATTTTGATTATCGAAAACTGCAATCGAATTATCAAAATACAGTGTTATTTTTCCATTGTGGAATTATTGGTATTTTAAAAGATACCTTAAATATAATTATTATTTACAGACAAAATTTGTTATTAAGATTTTTTAATGGCACTTTCGGTGGTGGGTAATATTATTATTAAAAAAATACAAATTAGTTGATTTGGCAATCGATAATTTCGCTTATAGCCAAACTTCGCCGTACTTCAAGATGGCCATTCAAAAAGTTGCTGTTTCCTCAAGGATCACATAAAACTAACTCTTTCGTTGGTTGCTTAGATAATTCTTGAAGTGGTTTTGGGCCCGTTAGACAGGAAGTCTTTAATAGTATTGGTTTCCTTTACTTTATCAAGTATCCGCCCCGTTTACAAGTTTTCCCCAAAATTCACCAAGCCCTCTTTTGTTTTGACGTGTCCTGTCATTTGTGGTGACTTCTTTTCAGGGGTTTCCTTTTGTCTTTGTATGAGTTCTAACAGTTATTTAGTGAAAATTGTCATTTGTCAAGTTGAGACCAGCCACGCCCCCGTAACCCAGAAACCTCAAAACATATATATTTACGCAGGGAGGGGGACAAAAAAAACGAGCAAACTCGAAGCGAACTTTTCTATTGACTGGCAAAAAGTTTTCAACATGCTCAGCTTTTATTAATGCGCTCTCAAGACCTTGCACACTCTTATTTATCTAAAAATCCCAGTTACCTCGCCCAT